AATCAACCGCGAACCATGTAGTTGCAAAGCTTTAAAGCAGGGCCTTGGGAGTTCAGGACGAGGTTTAGAAGGTTTCCGGTGGTTCTGCTAACAAGGTTGGGGGAGTTTTTTGTTTGAGATTTCGGAGGTCAGGTGCGGTGCTGTTCGATGAGGAGCGTGTTTAAGATATATTTTGACGAACGGGAAGCGCTGTAGGAGGGGCGTGTTGAAGATATATGACGACAACAGCGACAACAGCAAGACCCTGCACATTGTAATTCCCAATAACTTGACGCAAAGCAAAACCCTCCAAATGGTACAGTAATTCCCCGATAGCTTGACACAAGGCAGGAGCCTCGAAATTGCACTCCCCCTATAGTTTGGGGCAAAACAATACCCTACAAGTTAGAAGTCCTCAATAGCTTAACGCAAAATCCTGCACATGGTAAATCTCCCATTGCTTGACGCAAGACATGAGCCTCGAAATTGCACTCGCCCAATAGCTTGGGGCAAAACAATACCCCACAAGTTGGAATTGCCCAAGAGCTTCACACAGCGCAAAACCCTCCAAATTGAAATTCCCCAATAGCTTGAAACAAAGCAAGACCCTGCAACTTGTAATTCCTCAATAGCTTGACACAAGACAGGAGACTCGAAATGGCACTCCCCAATAGCTTGGGGCAAAACGAAACCCTGCTAATTGCAATTCCCCAGTAGCTAAAAGAAGAGCCAACGTCAGTAAATGAGACCGGGGACCGCCAGCGTTAGGAAAAAAAGAAACTTCCGCTTGCCCGTTGAGGATTGCATCCTCCTGGATGGCCGAAGGTTCACTCTACGGCTGTACATGGCCCCTGGGCCCGAAGCTCATTTCGTAGCATGCTTTCGGGGATACAGTTTTTGGAGTTTTTCGACTCCATCACTCCCCGCCTTGAGGCCCCCAGGCTTCATGGCTTTAGTATACCATGGTGATAGCGGGATCCTTGGATGTATCTCAAAGAAAGGTGCAGAGTATACTTGAATAAGCAAATATTAGCAAGTACATATATGCATACAGGTAAAGAAGCAAAACAAGCAAATAGATACTGTGTATACGGACAGATGGACGGACGGACGGACGGAGGGACAGACGGACAGAGAGACATGCAGGAAGAGACTGAGGGATAGAGCCACGCACACAAACACACTGGATACATACATATATCCGTATATATATATGTATAGGTATGTGCCTGTCTGTGTATATGTGTATATAAATATAATATGCCCACAGAATCCCACATATATACAAGAACATACATATGTACACGAGTAGTTTTAGTTTTTTTGTGTGTGCATACTTATGTATATATATATATATACAAACATATATTTGCGTGTCTCTGTGTGTATGTCGGTGTGTGTGTGTGTCCGTGTTTTGCGTGCTTGTGTATGTGTTTGCAACTTGCCATGTTGATGTGCGCGCAAGACTGCATGGTTGCTGAGGTATGTGGTACTGTATTGCTTTGTGACATAAACCAATATTCAGGAAAAATACGTGAAGCCGTGGATTTTCATCCCTACACCTTTCTCCTCGCGTGTCCGTGTCCGCCTGTTCCGCCTTTTGGGACAGCGACTTCGTCCAAGGTGGCCATCGAGCAGCGAGGGCAGCGCAGGTATTACCTGGCCTCGGAGGCATTGATCTTATTGTATACTATGACATACTCGAGTATACTAGAACATGCTAAATTATTGCGTCTCGGCGTTGCGGGTACCGACGTGCTTAGTTACCAACAGGGCTGGCAGATGCGGGGCGGCATTGATCTTTTAGGACTGATGGTATGGAATTTGTCCCGTGCATATGAAGGGGCATACGCGTCTAAGTGTTTCGGGAATTGGCAGCAGAACAAGCAGCGCCACCACTCTTTGGTCCAGCATGAAACCCGGGTTTTCGGTCCGCCTTGTGCAGGGCCTGGTGTACCGCGCTGTTGGTGGATCCAAGGCGGCTTGTTTGCAATTTGTTGCTGTGTGCGTGCAGAACCTCAGCACTTAACCATGGAGTAGGTCAACGAACTGCTCTGATCACACGAGATGTTTGACGGTTGCATGGAACCGGCTAAACCTTATTGACTTCATTGCATTAGTGTATCTAAGGTGTGTTATGGGACAGATGATAGGAGCACACTGTCACAGGTGTCTGTGAGCATGAATCAGGGTCTGGTAGGGCTTGAGTACCGCAAAGCATAAGCTTTCTTGTTTCGACTGCCCGTGAGGAGGGTCTCCTTGTCTCCGCGAGGTCGTTGTGTTGTTTAAAGAGTGCAGAATCTCACGGAGTTCGGTTGCTACCTCAGGTCACCAACTGCTCCCAAGCCGCTTTGACAACGCTTGGTGAGGCCTCCGCTGCGGGTGCGGAGGTGCCTCTGCCGTGCGATACATGTGTCCTTCCGGTGCATGTTGGTGCAGCTCTCGCTTCAGAAACAGGAAGCCCCTGATTCTGTGTGCCTGAGCATCTGTCGCATAATTATGTCGCAGCCATCCGGGTAGCAGAGGCGAATGGCATACTCTCATTGGCGTCTTCAGCAACCTGCATATACTACGTGGCGGGATCTAGAACATGAGCTAAACGACAAGCTGCTCCACAGCCATGCGTGTTTGCTTGCGCTTGACATCGGCAGCTTTGGTCTGCCCGTGCTTAGCACACTATGCCGGTCGTGCTTCGTGGCACATGTTGTCGCGAGTGAGTCTACGCACGACGAGATCGCCACATTCCTGTACTGACTACTCGGTCACTTGAAGATGCATTTCCCTGTAAATGATACTTGCTTTTGTTGTCCCAGCTTTTGTTGAAGAACGTATATAGAATCTACGGAATAGGATCTCGAACCCACGAAAGGTATACATCTCCGGGTCCAGGAAACCATTTCCTCGCTGGAGGCAGCGCCGCCCCTTGCTTGGCTTCAGGAACGCCTTGCCTCGCTGCCCGAGGCCCATGTGTAGGATTCGGGTCAAAAAAACTAGGGAAAGGGTTCGAATCTCCTGGCCCGGGACATAGTTTCAGAATGGTGGCCAATGTGGGCCCAAAGACTACCGAGCCGTTCACAGGCCACAGGCATTCGACATTTCGCGTCTTTACACTACGGAATCAAGAGATTGCTGGAGGGCCGCGTGGTTTTCTACAGTATCCAGCAAATACGACAAGTCCGTAACATTGGATGTTGCCACCAAAAATCACATGCCTTGCACCTGGATAGTGGGAAGCATGAAGACTTGACACGCGTAACCTGCACATAACGCTCCCGTGTCGGCTGTGAGATCAATGACTCAGTTTCCAAATTGTATCCTTCAGAAAGCTTGCTTTGTGCACTACAAGCAGTCTTGCGCATCCAGCGTGTCTCTCCGGGTCTTCTTCCCTTGCGCAGAATCTCTTCGCTGCTTGACCCTACGAGCATCAAGTACGAGCGGTTAAGTTTAGACACACCTCACAGCGGTTCTGCTCCTCGGTTACACCAAGGGCAAGGCAATTTACGTACAACACTAGCGGCAAGAACCAAGTCAACCAGATATCCCTGGACAGAACAGAGAATTCCGTGAACAGAACGTTCCCTTACTGTGAGCATGGGTCACTGATGCGCTCCCAGAAGATTCACGGCTCACAAATGATGTCCCAACCCCAAACCTTGAAGTTGGGCAATCGCCTCTATCAGGAAGAAGGCGGTGGACCGCATGCTTTTGCCACTCGTCTGATTGGCGGATTGTGAACGATGTTGTCACGGGCAGAAGCCGGGGACATGGACACAAAGTAAGAATCCAACGTAGCAAAGACAGGACGAAGCACACAATGTCACGAGTGGGAAAGAAAGTGTCAGCAGCAGTTAAACGAATGGTTAATACATAGCAGCTAAAGGCGACAGATGTCAGAAACTCGGTGAGCCGCCGCTGGGCACGATTGACCGGCATGTGCGTCTTACCTACATGCTTGTCTAACTTCAACCCCCAGAGCGCAGAATCAGGTACCACCTGCGTGCCGACCGCCCTCTAAACACCGGACCGAATTCGAACTCACGCGCTTTCTCAACCTATACCGATTAAGATAGAAACTCTTGAAGCGTGACATTCACAACCACCATCCCAAAAAGGTCCGGCTTGTGCGTCGTCTCCGTCGCCTGGCAGCGCACCTGCAGCCGTGCCTAGATGCTGCGGCCGGGCCCGGCATGGTCTCCATTTGGTTTTGCGTTTTTGTTTGGAACTTGAGTCAACCCGTCTATCATCAGAGACCCGGATGCAACAGACGGCTGGAACGTCCTGAGTTTATGGGGCAACATCAGTGGAGTGGAGTATGCATGGTTGTATTGATGCTCCCGTGCAGGAGTAACCAGACCCGAGCTGCAATTGCCGCTGCTGTCTTTGGACTTACTGCTGCTGCTGCTACTACTACGACGACGACGACTACGACGACGACGACTACCACTCCCAATACCACTACCGGCACTACCACCATCACTTCCACTGCTACTACCGCTGCCACTGCGACTGCCCCGCCGCTGCCACTGCCACTACCACTGCCACCACCACTACTGTTGATGAAATAAATCATGCATTGCCTGAAGGACCCTAAACGATGGGAATTATGGTATATTCCTTATTATGGGTAATGCAGGATTTATATCATCAACCGTACCACTCCCGCGACTGCTACCACTACCACTGCTAGCGCTGCCTGCTGACCTGCATGCCTACCTGCCTTCGTACCTCCCCACCTGCCTACCTATAACCCATATTACTACCACGATTACTGCGTACTACTACGACGACACTCCTGCTACCACGGCGACAACGGTAGCGACTACACCTACCACTACCTTTTTCTTCTCGTCCGACGACGACTTCTACGACTTCTACGACTTCTACGACTACTACGACCACTGCGACTACTGCGACTACTACGACTACTACGACTACTACGACCACTACGACCACTACGACTACGATTGCTACGACTACTACGACTGCTACGAAGACTACGCCTACTTCTTGCTTCTGCTTTCACTTCCACTTCTACTTATGCTTCTACTCCTACTCTTACGCTATCACCACCACCGCCGCGGCGACCATCACCGCCGGCAAGTACTACTGCTGCTGCCACTGCTGCTGCTGACAACGATGGCGACTCTGAATCCGCGAACGCTATGACGACGACATCGAGGTACATAGCTGCGTTGGCGCAGCTTGCAAGGATCGTAAAGTATGTGTGGCCAAGGCTCTATAGACTTTGATGCTTCAGTCCAGCCACTTGCCCCAGAGGGAGTGCCGAATACGAAACTCATACCCGCGAAGCCGCCGAAATCACATATTTCATGTACTAAGATTTTTTGAAGGCCGGTTCCCTCCATGTTTGTTGTTGCAGGCCTCGCAGAGAACCGGCGAGGCTGCGAAGCAATGATTGCCTGGTCTAGTCTAGGCTTCCCCTTTTCATGTGTCTTAGGGTTTGCAGGTTTTAGGGTCTATCCCAAGATTGAAAGTTGTACAGTAGTTAGCTCAGTGTCTAGACGAGACTTGCATGCTCTGGGTGCCATGCGGATTTCGGATTAAACCAACTTTCGCTTTCTGTGAGTGGAGCGTGAGAGTCGATAAAGAGGGATGTCATGTGGAGTTTCGACGAACCAACTTGGCTTCGTGTGAGGCGGTGGTTGACAAATCTGCAGTCACCATAGATCGTTGCAGCAGTAGAAATGCGGTTACATGTTGGGTCGTATGTAACATAGTATCACATGTCGGGCTAAAGATGCAGGCTCATAATGATGCTGATGGCAACAGCTTTGGAGCGCCGAAGCAAACAAAACATAAAACAACTGCAATCCATCAGTCGTCGTTAAGCAGCAAGCAAGGTGTAAAGGCCATGGGGAAGAGGCTAGAGCAAATGCATTTGTCAGCGCGAGCACTAAGACTAGCAGCAGCAGCGGCAGCAGCAGCAGCAGTGGCGAATTCCCATCCGCTCAGACACGACGAAAGCTGCATTTGCATCGAAAGGTGCCCTCGGCAAATGTTTGGGCTGCGTGCCCTGGCTTTCACTCGCTGATTCATTCCAGAGCTTTGTACAGGTAAGGGCTCGCCCACAAAATGGGCTTGGGGTGGGGTTCAGCGACACTGGAGTGCATGAGCATTAATGCGCATCTTTTGCGTGGAGCGCTAGAAGAGCAAACTGTCGGTTGCCAGGATCATACTGCCAGTCCCCTAAACTTAAACCCTAAACGAACCATGTTTAGAATGATAGGGGTGTGGGTTGAACTATGTTCGCTGAGACCTCGGCCTTGCCAGCAGGCATCACGCATTTCTGAGGGCAAACAGCTTGGCAGCACTAATGCGCCACTACAGGTTTGTGGCTTCATGTTTTCTTGACTTCAAACCCTCGTTGGACTTGTAGGCGGAGCGGGTTGATGCTGATCCGGTGCTTGGTTCAGCGTACAAGAACCGTAGCTGCGGTAGCTCCACCGAACCCAACACCAACCAGACAAGCGTGCTGCACCTGCAATCTCGGCAACCTTGCACAAGCGCACTCATGCGCACCCAACCGCCCTCATGTCAAGGCCCATAGGTGTCACAGAGCCGCCAAAGATCCGACAACCGGCAGGCTCCGGGTTCCTAAGATCCTGGGCCTGGATGTCATCGTGACGAAGACGGCGCCAGAAGGCGTGGTTCAGGGATTCCGGTTGAGGCCTAAAAACTTGACTACTTCTGGGTCCGAGGGCTCGGGGTACCACGCGCAAACCCTAGGCTCAAGCAGCCCAAGCCCGAAGCTCCCAGCTCTGAAATCGACCTCCTGAGTTTTACTAAGATGAGGATGAGGCCGCCCAATAACATGAGCAAAGGCGCCCTAAAACCGGAGATTGAAAAAAGGGTCTTTCAAAAAAGAAAGCCGTATCCCTTACCGTACACCCATATACACCCGCTATGCTCTTTTCCGTTTGGAAAAAGAGCCCTCAACAGAAGAACCCCAGGAGGCGTCGGGCCTTGGCCTTGGCTTTTGGAGGCCCAGCAGGGCTTCGGGAGATTTCGGGCGTGGCTTAGGTGGCGTTCAGCAATTTAGCCTACATCTTCAAGAGTGTGTGATGCAAGTGCGCGTGTTGCATTACGGTTGCGACTGTATTGTACATCTGCGTGTGTTTCGATGCGTGCAACCATTTGTATAATCATGGCACGTCATAGTCGTCCGGCGAGAGGACAACAGAACCGCGGGTTTCAATTGTCATAGACATAGAGATAGTAAATAAGTAATGCATGGCCACCTTGCCGCGAAACCGATGCAGCCATCCTTCAGACACAGACGCGTAATGCAATGCTGAAGGATTTGAGCATATGTTACAGGCAGCTTTGGCACTTGTACCCTCGGTCGTCTTCAGCTACAAGTAGCGGCTCAGAAATCGACACTTCATCCAGCCCGCCCACCCGCGGCGATCATATCTTTGCCTTGGTATATCTTGCCCTTGGGGGTAAACAGATTCCACAGCTGCAGATCTTCATTCAAGCAGGGCTAAGAATGCACGTCATATCTGGAACATCGAAGGATATCGAAAGTACTGACAGTACGGATAAGCATATCAGTCAAGAACAGTGATGACGTTTCTCCAGAGCAAGAATCAGGTGAATCGTTTCCCGGCGCTTGGCCTGCGTGCTTCCAGTGATGCATCGACGAAGCTAACGGCCCGTGGCCTGGAGAAGGGTCTTGGCAAAGGGCCGTGCGTACTGTTATCGGATTGTACTGTGTCGTAATGTGTTGGAATGCATTGTAATGTAATGTAATGTAATGTATTGTAATGTATTGGAATGCATTGGAATGTAATATTTTGTAATGTATTGTAATGTATTGTATTGTATTGTGATGTACTGTAATGTACTGTAATGCAATGTAATGTGATGTGATGTAATGTAATGTAATGTGATGTAATGTGATGTAATGTAATGTAATGTGATGTAATGTAATGTAATGTGATGTAATGTAATGTAATGTAAGTATG